ATATACTAAGAAATCGCTGAGGACATAACGCGAAAGTTTATTCTCTCATGTGGCTGAATCGAACGAAACCGGTAAAACTATCGCGAGAATGGTTGGAAAACATTTATAAAAATGTAAGGAGAATATACTTATGTTTGCAATGTAGATATGTTCTAAACGAGCGAAATATTATTCTCAAAATTTCGCCGAGATAAAAGAAGGCTGCAGATTAAATAAAACTTTGTAATAGAGATGTTGATAACCTTTTCTACACAATACATTTTTGAAAGCCTTTAGTAAAACAGTAAAAAGCTGGAGCGGGACAAAAAAGATTTAGATTACAGAGTTAAAAAAAACAATATACTTTTTCTATATACACGCGCTAATGTCCTGATATTATAAATATTTCAGAAAAGAGTACATACACATTACATTCTGTTTATATAAAGCAAAAATACTGTTTTTCTAATTCTGCAATCTGGAGCTCTTTTTTGTCCAGCTGCAATCTTTTTACTATTATATTTTAATAAATACTTTCAAAATATTTTTTGGAAAGTCTTTATTAAAATATAATAGTAAAAAGATTGCAGCTGGACAAAAAAGAGCTCCAGATTGCAGAATTAGAAAAACAGTATTTTTGCTTTATATAAACAGAATGTAATGGAAAGGTTTTTAACATCTCTATTACATTATCAAATAGAGAGCTATATATATATATATATATTCTATTGTAAAAAGAGTAAAGTATCATTCAAAAAAGTCCAATAAGCTGCAGTATTCCTTTTTTAAACTACAGATTTTGATCTTCCAATCTTTTTATAAAACTAACTCTTTCGTAACTTCCTCGCAGTTCCAAAATATTTTATAAGGATTAACCGGAAATTGACACGTAATAACGTAACGATCCAATAATAGAATAAGAACGGAGCTCTTTGCACGTTATCCGATTATTTTTATAATCTGTCTCGCGGAATTCAGAGCAAACGAAGACGACGTAGGACAAATATATCGCGGTCTAATCGCGTTTCGCGGACAATGCCGCGACGGAATTCACGAAAGACGAACGGCGGGGACTTCCCTCGCAAGAGCATGAGAATAAACCAGCGACTTTGCTGCGATATGGCCAATAAATTCGCTTGGTCGCACAGCGACCCACACAGAAGAAGGGGGAAGGAAAATCGTACAATACTTGACTAGAACGGCCACCAAAGTGGAGAGGCCGCTACGACGAGAACGACAACGTGTGTGCCACACAGAAACTCTCTCTCTTCTTTCTTCTCCTCTCCTCAACTATTATCTTGCCAGTTTGTACCAGGTGCAGCGGGGTAGAAACGCCACTGTCTTGCGGTGGCGACGGGGGACGACGGAAGGATGTTGCGCGGGCGCTTGATACGACGGCGACGACGACGACGACGACGACGAAGGATGGAGGGAATCGCGCACGGCGCACTCCTGCTTTACATTTTATTGCCCGACGTGGATTCGACCGATTTACATAAAGAGACGAACGTTGTAGTTACATTGGCGGACTGTGAAAGCGACCAGGGGAGAGGAGGAAGAAGAAGAGAAGGTGGAGATCGAGGGATGTTTCTCATGTCTCCTATACCAGTTTGAGAAGGGCTGCGTGCCGTTTGTCGCCCAGGACGAGAAATTTGCGATGCAGGAGGTGTGTGAAACGCGAATGCCAATACGTATCTCCTTCCTCTCTCTCTCTCTCTCTCTCTCTTACTCTTCCCCTCCTCCCTCTCTCTCTCTCTCTCTCTCTCTTTCTCCTTCTCTTTTTCGCTATTCTAGTTGGCTTTTTCTCATACTCATTTATTTAACATTCCCCGGACAGTTTTACGTAGGAAATTCTTCGTGAACTAAAATTCTTTCGAGACTGATACTCCCCGGAATTGCTGGAACGTAGGACGGTAGCGAATATTGTGTGCTCGACGGAATGCACAGTCGTATGATAATAGCCGAGTCGTAGCGCAATGAAATAAATGGCCCGTAACCAGGCAATCGCGATCGATTGTGACATAATTGACTACTCTGTTAAAAATTGCACGACTATGCAAAGAGCGTTTTCTATTTACATGTAAAAAATTGAAATTTATTAAACATACACTGATTCATACTTTGTTCCATTAATGTTTACTCCCGCTCTAAGCGAGGATACAAAGGACATCGCATCTTTTTTCCAGAGGAAGACGTCAACTATTCCTAACACACAGACCAGTTGCGCTAACATCGCCAACGTCCTAATTCCACAACTTTAAGGGGACACACGTAAAGCAACGGATTTCCTCTGCGGCAAATTTTCGAAAGTAACGAGTAATCACGCCAGCGAGAGACGCGAAAGAAGGACAATGACATCACGTTATCGTTATCGTTATCGTCGTCGTCGTCGTCGTCGCAATTAGTGGTAATTACACGCGTCTAAATCCAGCACGAGGAAATCACGGAATTCGACTTCGCTCGTTCCTTGACTCCTCGACTTCGCCGAGAGGATCGCTCTCTCCTTTCTTTCTTCCTCTTCCTCTTTCCCTCTCCAGGGTGCCGCAAATCCTCCGGACTGTCGGATCAAGAAGTACCCGCCAGTTAATTAGCTTAACGTCTATGAATTACGGGCGAAATTTCCTCGAGAACTTGTCTCCCTTTCCTTTTCCCAACGGGGAGGGGGTGGAAGGAGAGTAGGAAGAAAGGAGAAATGACGCCGATGGGCTCGTCGTGCGTAAACCATTTCTACTACCGAGTTACCTCGCCACGGCTGAGATGCTGGACCATTCGTTGTAACTTTGCAATCTACATACATGGTGCACGCGGTCGTCACGGTCTCCTGCATAATGTGTAGCTCGACAAATGTGTTTAACGTTGTCTCCCTTTCCCCGCGTAATGCAGAATTTTGGCGAAATTTTCGAACAGACCGAATCGAGCGGGTTTAATGCAATTCATTGAATACGATCTAATATGGATTGATATAATTATCTAGTAGTATAATAATTGGAAAGATAGTTTGTATTTTCTGTATAGATAATATTGATACTGATATATAATACGTAAATTTTCAAACAGGCCGAATTGAACGGTAATTACACAATTCATTGAATATGATCTATTATAGTAATAGAGTATTTAATAATTAGAAAAATACGTTATATTTTGTCTACATATAATATTGATACTGATATATGTAATCCTATTAATTAATTATAAAAGTAATAAATTAATTTTATTTTACTGCAATTCATAAACAGTATAAATATACCAAATAAAAATAATGAGGGAATAATATGTAGAATAATATAATACTCTCTCTCTCTCTTTTCAGCGCAAAAAAATTAACAAAATTTAAACGTTAAGAAATATATCTTATTTTTTATTCTTTTTTACTTTTCATTACATATACCGACATTTCTGTGCCAATAATCAATCCTAAAATTATAGATTCAATTTATTCTATCTCATTTATTAATTTAATTTTTATTTCATTCATAATCATTTTAATATTAATAATATAACAATTGATTTTTCTATTATCGACAATTCAATTTGATTTAAAGATTTAAACTAATTCGTCTATTCTTGATTGAACAATCACAGACAACATGAATATCTACAAGACGTCATATATGTATACGTAACGTCCGAATTGGCTATATTAAAAAATAACAAACAAAAGCATAACATAATTTTGTAACTCATAAGAAATATCGTTAATGATAAATAAGTATACTTAGTAAATAAATATCAGAGAAATGAAAAACTTATTATTTTTATGTACAGAAACAATTATATAAATTAGAAAAAATTCCAAAAAGTCACATTCTATAATATACCGTTACAATTCGGAAGACGAAACGAGCGAAGTCGGACCGTTATCTAACGACTATTTCTTAAGTTCGTAAATACGCTGCAAGTGAAAGCGCGATTCAATATTTAAACGGTTCCGTCATAATACACCGACCGACACTGGTTAGAGCGCGGTTTGTCGCTGAACTGCAGCACTGTCATAAATTGAACTTTCTGTCATTTGTGTTTGTTGCCTCTCTTATATTAAATAACTGATTGTGAGAGAGAAACTCCGTGATTGCTGCTCCCAATAGTAAATCCAGTTCGACATGCGAGGCACAAATATTATGATATTCAACGCGGAAAAAAGAGAGAAAGACAAAGATCGTCTTCTATAAGTGTTCCAATTGTTATAACTGTAAGCGTTATCATTGTAATTGCGTCGTAACAAAAATTACTCACTTCAGAAAAGACTAACATTTATTTTCCATGTGTTTCATTAGACGTAGCATCAGGATATACAAGAGGAAATATTTTATTAAAGGTAAAAATAAAAAATGACCTATGTGATATAAAAAGAAGGAATGCCTAGTGACTCGAAACATGTTATAGTAAACAATTAATTTTCTTTCTTAACGAAGACAACAAATTTCTGTCTCAGTAAAAAGATAGACAAAGGCAGAACAAGAGAGAGAATTATTCGCATTAATTAATATGTATAACGAATAAAATATTTTCACAACACGCGTGCAATCTATACGAGTTAAGCTATACGTTGAGTTAGTCTCTTTAGCCACCATCTCTTTAATCGGATTCAGGTACCACTGACCTAACAAGGACATACCGAGAACGTGCGGGCGGCACATACTGGCAACTTTGTCCGCGATCGCTTTACGAGCAGTGTGTAGGAGTATTCGCCAATTTCGAAATGCCATTTGCAAGAGGTCATATAATAGTAACTTACTCAAAGATACTTCCGTCAGCATTGTTAAATTGCACAAAATTCTTCAACCATTGTGGAAATCGACATTTTTTTATTTTTTACGAAATTCAAAGGCATTCCTTTAGAATTTTTCACAGAATTGGACGTCCAATGATGATCCTGATATTTCAGCAAACTCTACTGCTCAGATTCCGTATCGATCTCTCCATCTTTGCACGGAACACACCGCGAGTGAGGCCGAGGGAAGCAAGAGTACTGTGTGTATCGAGATAGAGAGGAGTTTGCTTATAGAACTCATACTCACCTATCGAGCGTCTTCAGGTTCAAAATCAGGGGTTGCTCGGAGTCGGTGACGTCGCGACGTATCCGGTTGCGATGTCGTTTCAAGGCTACGGTGTCGTATACAGCTGCCTCGTAGTACCTGATATATGAGCGCGTGATATCTGAAAAACACAATAAGGAAAACGGATGTTCTATTAGTGCTAAGAAGAACGCGTTACGCAAACGGTAAATCGCGCGAGTCACGCAAAGATGAGTTGCGTCGTAAAGATGCGTTTATATCAGATGTGACACCATAGACGTGATTAAGAAGGCAAACGAGTGTTCATGATTCTTACATAAATAAAAAGAAATCGTCCCATATTAACTTTCTTTTTTATAAAACGAAGAAAAAAAAACTTAATCGAAAAGTGCAAAATTCATGTCATTGATATTAGTAGACTTTTTCTACAAACAAATGTATAATTATAAATTGTCTTTAAAAAAGATTTTTTTAATTCCTTTATGAGATGTTAAAACCATTTCTATTATATTACAGTTGAAAAATAATAATTTTATACCGTTATATATTAACATAAAAGTTTATTCTTATAATACAAAGAAAAACAATCCAGACTAGTTTTTCTTATACACATATCGTACTTTTTTTTTCGTTACATCATAGTACTTGAGTTTAGCTATATGATGTAAACGCACCTTAAAGAGTCTATAATTCTCGCTTAATTGCTCACAATGGGAAAAAACGCGATGACTATACCAACTTTTTCATCACGATTATTATAAAATTAGGCATAATTTATATATATCACACTAAAAATAAAAATAGATTTTGACATATATTCTTATTTTTATATTTAACCTTTAAGTGAATAGTTGGCCACACACAGCGCATTCCTACGCATATAAGTTATTTTAAAGTCTTATTCTGCAAGAAAAAAATAAAAAATATCGTCTAGAAAGTTTTAAAGTTCATTATTTTTATAATCTTCTCGTAAGAATATAAAAATATAATATAAAAATTTAACTCTATGTATAGTCTATTAGAAAATATATCTATAAAATTTGGAGTATTCTAAGCATCTACCTACTTAAGGTTAAAAATTCAAAATTAGAAATTATAATTTGTTTCTAATCCCTTTATATTAACGATAATCGCAATAAAACGTAAAATCAAGTAGTTTATCAAAATGCACAATAATAGGTTGAATGAACAGATTCATATTTACGAAACTCCTAATTCTGATCGAATATTTATATATATGTAATATATTAATATACTATAAAAGTGAGAAAAGTCGCCGATACTGACTGTAGCTGTCCTATAAAGCAATCCTATAACAACCCTTATATTTTTTTCAGAAATTAATTATTACATTTTATTAATACAAATATAAACATAATCTGTTTAGCTAATTAAAGAAATGCAAACTCATAATATATATATTTGTGGTTTGTTTCTATATCAAATTAGCTAAAAACGAATCCTACCAATGCAATACAATGCAAAAATAAAATTCTTATAATTTTCTTTTACAAATTGCACAGTTTAAATAATAATGACTATATTACTAATAATATTACGTCGTTTAAATACTTGTAGTTTCCTAAATCAGTTTCATTTATATTATTTTCTGTCTCAGTTTTTTTATGATACAATTTTATTTTTATAACAACGGGATGCAGCGTAAACTGCCACACCTGTCTGTAAAACAAACCATGAGCTAACTTAATCTTTATAATGTTACTTTATAATGCTAAATAGCTCTGCTCAAGCTGAAGACAATCGTGCATATATGGGAAAATTCTTGAAAAACTATCTCGTTACATATATATTTGCATTTTGCAGAACAGTGTAAAGTAAATATGCATATAATTCAATAAAAATGTTTTATAACGAAGTGAAAAGATTCTGTGAAAACATCTTATGCATATTCACTTGTTAGGTACTTTATACAGATAATTCCTGTAAAAGAAAAAGAATATGAACATGTGGCATTACTGCCTACTGTGTTAGTTTTTGGAGCCCATTTTGTCAGACACTAATATCTTGCTTATTTTACGAAAAAGTTAATTATTGCAAAATTGCAAACAGTATTATAAAAACTGCTTATATTATCTAATAGAAAACACTTTTTAGTTTGTTCTTAAGTTTAATTTTTCTTTCGTTTAAGAAATATTATCTAAAAATAAAGTGGTATGTCGGTATCGATGTGACTTTCCTCTACAAAACTGATTCCATGTATCTTACTTTTACACATTAATATCCATTTATTGTAGATTAAAATTAGATAGTCATATTTAGCATCAGGTATATAAAAATATCTATCCTTTCATAAAAATGCAATCTATAAATCTCAATCGTAAGAAAAATATCAATGAGAGTAAATTGCGAAGCTAAAATTAAAAAACCTTTTTAAAATTATTTTTTAATCATTAAAATAAATCTGAGATCCACTGAAATATTTTGCCTTTAACATTGACAATATACTTGCAATATATTTACACAGTTACAGATATACGTATATACGTATTTTCTTTAGATCTTTTCTGTCGTTAATATTTTATATCAAAGATCCTATTTCTTTCGCTCTATCAATTAGATCTCTTTAGATGCCGACGTCTCATCAAGAGAACATTGTAAAATCAATTAATTTATTTTCGCGCGTATTATATGTATACACACTGCAACAAAATGTTACACTCACTTCGCGGAAACTCTCTTAGTATTTTAAGATGAAAAGATCACGGAAATTTTAAGAGGAAACGAATGCTCGAGCATTCACCACGACCACTCGGCCGAGAGAACTCAGAGACGCGTTTTCAGATCTCGGACAAGTGCAGCAGCCGAAGTGCACTTGTTTCGCGTCCACTTTACTGAGAAAATGCACACACATTAACCGTCAGTCCTGTCGCTGGTTTTCAATATAACGAATTTAATAATATTTTTATTGTTATATGTATGTGCAAAAGTAATCCACTAACATAGAAAAATATTTTAACGGCACGCACTCAAAGATCTTAATAGAAATCAATACTATTTCACGCGCAAGAAAAAACGAAGATTGAAGAATTCAACGAGTATACTTTCAGGAACGTGAAAAATAAAATTCAATCGAATGTCCTAAATCGGACCTTTTTAATTTAAATAAATACGATTAAGCAGATTGCGTGCTATTTATAATATAAAGTCCTTATAAGACCCCGAACATGTGACAGCAGTTTGGCAATACTCTGTCATAACGTTCATAGAAATAGACGTAAATATGTATTTTCGGCTATCATGCGAAAATTAAAAAAAAAAAAAATCCTTGTAAATCATTATTTAAAAGATGTTAAAATTTTGAACGGTAATTGATTTATAATTAAAGAGTGTAGAATTAAAAAATATCAAGAGTTTTGTGTTAGATACATGTGCATAGAAGAATATTGGAGACCTTAAATATGGATACTCAGTAGTGTCACGATACAATATAGCGACATTAGAAGTAGTAGAAGATATAAGGTGGACTGGTAACTCGGATTCGATCTAATTACCCTCAGATCCAGCTATCCCTGTGTCCTTTTTTCCCGCCATAGAATACTTCTTCGAGAGAGCGAAAGTTAAGTAAACAAAAAAATTATTATTCGTCATTCAATTTAATAATTTTTTATTATATTGTTTTATTCGTTGTATAATAAATCTTTGTTTTGTTTCACGATTTGTCATAATTTATATCAATTATGGTACTTTTCCCAATCTTGTCAATTTGTGTACTAACCGATAAATTTAAGGAATCTAAAACACGACTATACATATTACGTGGTATATCTATATATTTTAACGAGCGGACGTTGAACACGTGATTTAAGCAACTTTCGAAGTAAATGGCTCGAACGATCAATGGAGCGATGCTAAGCGCAGTTTATGTCACGTGCTTCCAGATCACAATTAGAACACCGTTTAGGGTAGCGTACCATTGTTTCCGTAAATACTACCGATCGAACGATCGGGACACAAAAGGAACACGCTGGACAAAGGCGAGTATCGGACTTTAAGGCCATTACCGACCCGGGCGGACCCCTTCGGGAGACATCGACCGGTGCGGCATTTCGATATAAGTCATTCGGAGATTCTCACGTGAGTACGAGATCGCCACTAAACCAATATTTTTTCAATTTAAACTTTGTTAAATCAAACTCGACGATTTTTCAGTGGATGTATCGTACACTGAACCTTAACATTTTGTATAATACAATATTATATAAATGACTAGAATATTAATGATTTTATAATATAAGAGAATAAAAAAGTATTAATTTATATTTCCTGTTAAAATCTTAATTTACTTAAAAATAAAAACAATAATTGACAGAAAAAAATGTAATATTACAATTCATGTGTATTTAAGACCACTATTTGAAATATTAAAAATATTTGAATACGTATACAATTCTAAGTGTTCTTAAATATTACAAAAATAATAATGTATATGTAATTAACGTGATCACTTTAACAAATTTTCTCATTATTCTATTATGATTTCACTTATAATATAATTCTTCTCTGACAAATAATTTCAATTCTCCATATTCCATCAGAAAATCAAATAACCATGCGCGAAAAAGGGATTAATATATAAAAATTTAATTTATTCCCAACTCTCGATCTCGAATTCGACAAGTGTCCTCGATTTGAAGGCACTTATCAGATTCAGTACACAAACTTTGAAAAGTTTTTGACCCCCAAGTCAATTTTACTTGAACGAATAACAAAGAGAACTAAATGTGTGACTCACCTCTGTGCGGTGGTGCGGGATGAAGGGGAGACGCGTCGACGACGGCCATCGGAATCCAAACGGGCAACAGCAACAGCACAAAGAAAATCGGACACGTCGTGATGGACCATTGACTCCTGCCCCCCACTGTCGCGGCAACCGCGGAGCGCATCGCGGGCCCGCGGGCCCCGTGGTGGTGCCCCGCACGGCCCTCCGCCTCCTCTTCCTCGTCCTCCTCCTCCTCCTCCCCCCCTTCTTCGCCCACGGCCAGGGCCGTAACGCGCATGGGCCCGATGTTCCGTGCCCCGGCAACGACTAATGGCGCTATCTGCCTTTCGTCGAGGAGTCGACCACCACAGCACTTTGCCAATCACCTACCAAGATCATTTCTCCGTCCTTCTTCTCCGGTCGTTCTCCCCCTCCTTCTCTTAACCCTCCTGCCCTCTCCCCATCGCCCCTTTCTCTCCGCCACCTCCTCCTCCTCGTCTTGATCCGTAGGTCGCTCAACCTTTCGACCCCTCTGCCGTCTCCACTACCACACCGCCGTCTCTCTTCGCTTTCAGCCTTCCTCTTTTTTTCTTCTCTTTTTTCAACCGGTTCCACCTCGCTTTACCTTCGACGGCGGATCGACTCCTCCGCGTCGTCCTCTTTCCTCTTCAACGTTCACCACCTCCGAGCGCCGCTCTCCGGCCGTCGATCGATCCTGTTGACAAGAATGTGCGAATTATCGCAAGTGCTACGAATATGCAATATTTATTTTGCGAAATCAAAGAGACTAACAAAGTTAAATTAAAGCAGCGCTTTCGCGACCGCGAAACTTGCTGCGTTACGAAATTACACACTTGTTTTCATGCACAAGGAAGTGATAGAGATAACGGAGTGTTTTTTTTTTTTTACATCGTAAAACTAAACTTGTAAACTGTAAAAGTTTGAGATGCGGAGGGGGCAAAGGGGACTGAGATAGAGTGTTGTCGACTCGGCAATTGTGGCCGGAGAATTGTTCGTGCGAGCGGTCTCGTATAACGTGGCATGTTAATGGTACACATATACAGTATGCACTATATGGGGGTCTTCACAAGGGATTGCACAAACAACTTTGCGTTACATTATAAATAAGAATCTTTAAACATATTTCAAACATTATTGTAACCTAATAGTGTTTACACTGAAAAACTACTAAATCTGAATATATACTTCTTTAAATAGTACTAACAATAAGTGATCATTTATTTACATTAAATATAAATGTTTACTACAGTAAAAAAAAAATGATAATTAAACCAAATTAATAATTTTTGTATCGGATAAATATATTTTTACATTTAATAAATATTTACTCTCTTAAAGAACTATATACAAACAAATATTTATTAAAATTTAGTTTTTTTTTACTGTATCATTAATAATTTAGCAAAAAGCAACGATTTGATGTATTTAACGTTCGTGCAATATAAACAAATTTATATAAATACGAATTTTTTTAATATACACAAAATTACATGAATTGTTACTGATTTATTCGTTAAACAGTAAACAATTTGATCACTCGAGATTATTCCTGATAGTGTAATTTTATTTCATTTCCTAATTGCATCACAGAACTGGACGTGGAAATTCGTTTACATAACAATGCAGGTGAGATTATTAATGAGCAACAACAATTAAAAATGCTCGTGAAATACATCAGTTTTGCAGCGCGCAAACATTTTGCATTTTTCATAGAAAAAGTTTCGAAACATGTAAATGAAACGGCGCGACTAGTAAAAGAGTGACTTTCGTATCGTTAATACTCGACGGATGAACCATGAAAATGCTTTATATCTCCGAAAATGGTGATTTCACTGGTCGAAATATAATTAGTAACAGACACTTCGGATATCATAGAGATGTATGATTTATTCGCAAAAAATTAATCTTTTTACAAACAGATCGTTTCGAAATAGCCCTTTTTGTAAAAAAAAAAAAAGAGAGAGAGCGAAACGATTCTTTACAAAGAGATAGATCGGTTTAAAATAGTACTTTTTATAGTTAAAAAAAATCAATTTTTCAATTAATCAGTAATTACTAATTGAAGAATTACGGATATAGAAAACATATTTTAAAAATTTAGAAACTTAATTCGACATCGCTTCAATAAATAATTTTTTATTTACTGGGTAAAATATCTTAATATATTATTAATATTTTCAATACAAGATGTATAATATAAACTACTTTGTAATTAATTCCAACGCAAGTAATGTTTTTGAAAAATCATAAAAATAAAACCTAAGTGATACATAATCCAACCCAAGTGATATATGATGGAAGTGATATGTGATCGAAAAAGTTACCTTTTTTTACAAAAAGATTTTAAAAAAGGCACCAAGTGTGTACGCGCTCGTATGTGTTCCTTGGAGAGGAAAATGACTTTTTATTTCAAATCTGCTTTCCAAACTATCAAATAATTGTTTTCAAAACATGTGTGAAATCTTTTAATTGCGCCAATTATAAACAGAAAATACATATATGAAACAATACAGATACTACGAATACCTATGATAAATACATGAAGCTTTTATATTGCGCCAATTAGAAAAATACTTTTTTACTATATATATGGGGCATTCCATCCCAAGTTTACCACTCGAAAACTTTTGGATTTTTGATTTGGCCGAAATTTTGATATATTATAGTAGGTACCCATCGCGAGAAGCTATCATGATTTTTTTCGAATTCTTTTATTAACATAGTCATAAGTCATAAGATATGAATTTTTTTCAAAATTCGTAATTGTCAAATGCTTATAACTTTGCGAAAAATAATCCAAATAAAACGTTCTTTCTTTTTTTAAATTATGTGTTTTGTTCTCTAGATTTAAAAAAAAATATTAAGAAACATTTCAAAAGTGTTTTTTAATTTTTTTTTTTTTAATTTAATGTAAAAAATTATTTTCAATTAAACTGCTGTCGGCTAATGCTTGGCATGTGTAATGTTAATACGTCATTTTTTTATGTAATACGTATTTTTTTATGAAAACAATTTAAATTGGATACAATTTGACATTATGAATTATAAGCATGTACAGTCGTGAACAGAACGGTTGTAACACTTTTTTCTCGATGTATTTCGGAATGCAGCTGCTTCACGGAGCAATTGGTTTTTACTCATAGATTTACCGTTTACGTTCACCACTTTACGAGCTAGACTGAGTTCCGAAACTCATCGGGAAAAAAATGTTGCCACAGTTCTGCCCATGACTGTACAACAATGGCTGCGCCAGAGAGTAGAGAAAACTAATCAGTTAGCGCTTAGTGATTCTTAATATGATATTAGTTCGTACAGATTCAGCGAAGAACTAAAGGCAAGAATCAATCATACCAAAGAATCACTAACAAGTGCTAACTGATTAGTTTTCTTTGTTGAACGCAGTCAATATTTTGACGTGCGGAAGAAGGTTCGTATATTTCTTTTTCCATAAAAACTTGGATAGACAGCCACCTCGGAAAAAAAAAAAAAAAAAAAAAAAAACAGGCTCATATAGATCCATATGCCTTCGCGTATTCCCATATTCGCGAAAGCACAAAATAAAATAATGGATGCATTCTCGGGAAAGGACGGCATATATGTGCATGAACTAAATATATATATAAACTTTAACATATATGCCGACCTGGCGTGCCGTAGCAACGTCAAGAAACGCACGCTTTAATGGATAAATAAAAGTGCAGGTGCATCGCGACGCGCCGCGTCGGCGCGGCGCGCAAGCCCGACATCACCGGGGCGATAATACGTTTTTCCACGATGACACGACGCATAATCCGCGAATAAATCATGTTTACGCTTAAGCTCGTGAGTAATGAACAACGAACGCCACCAACGGATTCTTTAGAGTATTTCGCTTGGGACTTTGTCCCCCAAGCGTGACGAAGGGACCGAAATAAGATTTCAGATTAGATTTTCCGAGTTATATTATTGCAATAAAAATACAATCAAAACACGGTGAAAATAAGTATGACTGAAAGAAGACTTGAGAAAGCTTTATTTTACGCCCTTCGTAAAATAATTCTAATGCAATATTTGATAAAAAGAGCTTGTAACTAAACTCAAAAAAGGTTGTACTATGCAAATTTACATAAACTTGAAAATGTCGACGGTCCATTGATGGCTTTGTTCAAATGTTATTTTAACCCGATTCAACAAACCAGAGTTTCGAGAACAGAGACTTCGTCAAAAATCGGATCCTTATTATTCATTTTCTCGCGTCGCACGTTCTCTCTTTTCCGACCGGATGTGAAGTTCACAATTAGGTAGGTAGGACGCAATATTTCAAGAAACTCTAAAGTTCGTTGCCAAAATAAATTACGTGGGGCGCTGCAAAGCACTGCGGTCGGATACTCTCTCTCTCTCTCTCCCGGTACACTGTGTAGAGGCGGTCCCCGAGCGGGATAGACACTACATTCCGAAAATGGAATGTCGACGCGATGTTCGTACGAGGAGGAGCTTTATCGCACCTCGTCCGTGCAGGCGGAAGAATGACCCGGCGCGGCGAAAGCCATTACTCGCATTTCGCAAGTCCTGGCACGGCGAAACGGCGAATTTACTGCACGGTTCGCATTTGATGATCATTCTGAGACGAGTCACCCAACCCAAAGTGAGAAGAAAGTGACTCACAAATGTCTCCGTAAAATAATCACCCGCATTGATAGATGTAAGAAACAGAGAAAGAGGGGGGGGGAGGAAGAGAGAGAATACAGTATCACTTTTATAATTAAAGTTATGGAGACGTTTATACTTCTTTAAAAAAAAAAAAAAAAAAAACTCTAAACATTTTCTCAGTTTTCATTTTAGAAATGCGCTGCTTGTAATAAATACAATATTTTTTATAATAAACATTATGTTTTAATAACGGTATACTAAATATAATAAATATTAGTAATAAGTAGGAAGTGTAACGTATCTATTTTTATACGGAGATATCTGAATATAAAAATATGTGGTGTTGCACTCATTTAGAATCCACTAATTCAGCTGTAGCTATTAATAAAACTCATACTGAATTTCTGTTTCTCTCATCTCTAAAGGCAGGTATAATTATACCTGTGTGTGTGAAAGGAAATCCTTCGTTTTTCTTACAGTTTTTTTTTTTTTCGTCGAGTGAGAACCCCAATGAATTCGCCTTGAGCCGAAGAAAACCCGTTCCACCGATGCATTCACTTTGAATGATTAATCCGCGTGGGCACGGGACCAGATAAGAGAATAGATGAATCTCTTAGCATACAAAACTCGCGAGTTTTCTCATAAGCCGCACGGCTATACTACAATAGAATATGAAATCCGACCTCGACACCTCGGGATACGTCAAACACGAGTGCGCATCTCTCGGTTTATCATCTATTAATACACATCACACAGGAGGGACGCGATGGTCCATCTATTATATATCAGGATCTGACTAGGATCTCTCGTCGTCGTCGTGATACGTCACCGAAATTCCACCGTGATAGTTCAGGGATATATCGACAGACGAGGAACCGATACTGAGAGGATTAGTGTGTCGTAAGCGTCGTTCGCCAGAGAACACGATCGGACAATTTTCCGTCGAGCGCGCTTCGCTGAACCGTTACCTCGCAACGCGCGCACACCAGCGAAACACGTTTTGCGTAATGTCCAAGCGGGAGAGATAGAGCCCCGGACGAATAGAATAATTACGAACGAGCCGAT